GCGTGTTTTTTACTTGGGAGTGGATTCAAGAGGTATCAGAGGAAATTGCCTCTTAAAGCTTTAAATTCACCTTCCGCATCTGTTTTCAGAATTTCGCCTTTTCACGTAGAGAAATTTTTTTCTACAAAGTTACCGGCATTGATAGCTTTCACTAAGCTTCTCCCAAATACTTTGAAAAATAGATTAAACAGAATTGAGAGATGTAAAATGTACATACATCGTTCAAAAGATCACAGAATAGCCCTAGAACGGGTAGAAAATGGACGGAATGTCGAGAGGAAAATAGGATAATTAAAGTGGACTCAAATTTCCGCTTTTGTTTCCCATGACAACCGTCAAGCGTTGTTCCCCTGCTACATTGCTTGTCTCCTCTGACCGAGAGGGCCTGGCACAGCCAACCATTATTACGAAGAGGTTGTGATTGACTGGGCCAGACTAATCTTTGAGATATTCAAATTAACGTCTCTCTTAATAGTTTTCCCTTTTTACCGTTTGTTTTTCAGAATTACGGATCATTGAACTTGTCTAAGTTTACCAACTTTATTGGCGATGACTGGGATATTTATGCAATGACAGGACTTGCCCTCCTGTTTGGAATTCTTCTTCTACTTCGAAGGAGACAATAAACATCTTTTGTAGAATTTGTACAGTAACCGTAGCTTGTATGACTTTGCAAAAAAATTTTGATTTTAAGCATAATAAAATGTTCCGGTTTCTTGTGGTTGGGTGAGTTTTACATTTGGGGTTTCTATTTGCTGTAAAGGGCTAAGCTAAGGATGGAAAAGATTTACATCGACGAAAAACTGAGATTTCAGACACTCAAGGCAGGATTTACAAGCTGGATCATCTCTCGTTTAATTCCTTTTTAACCAAGAGATCCTTTGAATTTTATGCCGTCGCAATTCAATTGTTTCAGTTATCCTTCAATTTTTAACAGTTTCCGGGAACTAGTTCTTAATTTTCTTTTACAGAAACACTGCATGACCATTTGAAATTTTTAGCTGAGAATTTCCCATCAGAACAACTTAATTGCATTTTTTTCTTTTACAAAATTGTTTATTTTCCTTTGTTTTAAACTCATTATCGTACATTCATGCAAACTCGAACTACGAGGGAACTTAATTATG